AGCTACAAAAGTCCAAAGCAATGAGGGATTTTCTCATTTTGTTTAATAATGATTCAAACAGGTGGCAGCAGGAATTTGCATGCTGTCGCTTTAATTAGTTAGTTTATTTATAAAGCACATTTTTTATAACACAACGTTGCCCAAAGTGCTGAACACAATCAATATTAAAAATAAAATCTACATCACATACATAACAATTAAAACATAAGGCAAACCCCTCAACATTAAAAAGGCTCAAATACTAAAGAACAAAGATGCCGTTTTTAAATGCTTTTTAAAAACAGATAGAGTTGGAGCATGTCTGATGTGGGGCGGAAGCCCGTTCCAGAGTTTTGGGGCGACTACAGCAAATGCCAGATCCCCACTTCGTTTACACTGGGACCTTGGTATTGATAGAATAAATTCATCAGAAGACCTTAGTGACCTACCAGGATTGCATACATGTAGCAGGTATAATAAGTAAGACGTTGCCAGATTGTTTAAAGATTTAAAAAACAAAGATTAATAGTTAAAAATCAATCCGTGACCTAACAGGCAGCCAGCCCAGAGAGGAAAGAACCGGGGATATGTGCTCGAACTTGCGAGTCCCTGTCAGAAGTCTCGCAGCCGCATTTTGTACTAATTGCAATCTATTTAGGGCATTTTGACTTGAATGGTTTCTCTTTCACGTGTCTTTTGATTCTCAACTCATTTGTTTAATACCCAATTGAGGGTTAATATTAATAATCACTAAACACCACGTTTTGACACCTATTTGACCATTAAAGCGCTCACGTTAAGATGAGATGTGTGCGCCCTGCTCGTCTCAGTGTGCGAATGAGACCAAATGCTGACCTCATGCTTCGGACTGTGTGGGCGCGCCGCACACACAAGCATGCGGTCTTACGATCTTTTAAGAGCAACACGTGTACAACTGGAAAGGGGCAGTATATAATTCAATAATCGTTTATCCCGAATAATGGTTTTTCATAATCGTTAGAAGCCGAAATTGGATTTTTGATTAATTGCACAGCCCTAACTGCAACGCTCGCGGACAATACCCAGCTGATTCAGTCATTGCCTAGCTAGATAAAACGCGCACCTTTCGTTCTCAGAATGCAAAAACACGTTCGTTTCTTCCAAAATAGTTTGTTTTAAGTTTTGTTGATCTTATTTGATGCTTTTAGTGAAGTAATAATTATTTTTAATTTATTATTCATACATTTTTTTCAGTCAACCCATACATATAGCCTACTTATACTTTTCATCTATTCTTTAGATATTCGATTGAGATGTTGTTCCTGATTAATCAAGAATCCTATTAATTGGTCAACCTCTACTTTACGTGTGATCTGAGAATATTTTTTTTGGTATGGGTTTTGTGTAACCTGGTTTTTGAAAACACACACCACAGGTCTTAGTTATAAACATCACAAAACCAAGGCGGAAATGTGTGTGCAAACCACTTCCCATGCACAAGTTCTGATAAAAAACAAACTTGATGGGAGAATGTGTGCAGATGTAAGTAAACTTTTAAATAAACTTAACTTTAAATTTACTTACACTTTTAAATTTACTTAAACTTTTAAATTAACTTAAATACTGACTTACTGTAATTAAACCACTTTAAATTGTCGTATGAGCCCTAATTATTATAACATTAATACATTTATTCTGGTGTATGATCACTTTTAGGAAGGTTTCTGTGCCCTTTATATAAATCAGACCTCAGGAAACTGTTGTATTATTTGCAATCTGGAAATGCTCATGCATACATGCATTGTTGATTCTGAACAACAAGCTTGAAAAGCCTTAGTCAAACTCCTGCCATAGCTGTAATACAAGGCATCACATGGTGTGTTAGAAGAAAAAAGATCAAAACAAAGCTGCAAGTCACTTTAAAACTGTCCAAATCTCCAGATTCGATCAAGATGCAGAATGCATCACGATGACAATGGATAGTCTGAAAATATGCCCTATTAATTTGATCCTCGCAAGTCTCTCTCTGTTCTCCCCTCTCTCTGGTGTTTGTGGGGGATCAGAGAGGATTTGGGTGGAGTGTTTCAGTGGCAGGTGGGCAAAATCTGTTCACAACAAAAAGCTTTTCCTAAACCAAAAACTCCAGTTTCAACCATGTTAACATTCACGCTGATGGAATGTTTTCCATGAAAGACATATTTGCAAGCCTTTAGATATTGTAGTTTGTTTTTGATGTCCCAGATTTCCGGCTTCACCCCCTGTGGGTTTTATAATGCTTATCTTAATAACATAGGCATGCTTTCTCAGTGGGGAAGTGCACAACATGGGGCAATGGTTTCTTTGTTTATAGAATAAATGTCTTCATTGTATATTAAAGGGATGGTCCACCCCAAAAATTACTATTCTTTCATAATATAGTAATAAATTCATAGCTGTATGCATTTGTGTTCTTGTTAATAAGGCAACATAATTTTTGAGAAATGCTGTTAAACTTTGTGCCTCATTGACTTTTATTATGTGGACAATAATCCACTGAAAAATTTGAAGTATTTCTTTTGTGTTTCAACAAAGAGTAATGTAATGGAGGTTTGGAGTGTGAGTAAATGAGACACTATCAGAAATATAGTTATAAAACAGTGTAAAACACCTTACAGGTGCACTTTGAAATCTTAATGGTACAATTTTTACCTTTTTTTGTACTCTAAGGTACATATTTATAATAATTAATATATTAATAATATTTAGGAATTAATATGTACATTTTAAGGTACAAAACTTTGCCTTTTGGAAAAAGTACTACCCTAGAGGCAGGTTTTGTACCTTTATTTCATACATTTTTGGGTAAAATGTCTCTTTAGAGATCAATTAAGACTATTAGAGTGGTTCTGACATCTTAAGAAATGTCAGAAATACAGCATGTTATAAATGTTTCCCAAAAGCTGTTCAATTTGCATCTGATCTGGGGTGCGTTTCCGAAAGCCATCGTTTGCCAACTAAGGTCACAAGTTCCTTTGTTACAAACATAGTTTGTTGACTTGGCATTTCCCAAATCCATCGTTCTAACGAACATTCGCAAACTGCATCGCAAACTTGTATGCTTGCAACTACACCACTGGAGCTGCAGTTAGAAACATAGTTCCGGGGTGTGTTCTAATTCCAGTTACTCCCCCTATGCCCTATTCATTTAGAACATTCTAACATTTAAACTTGGAATTATTAAAAAAGGCTTTGAAGTCGTCACTCTTAGGTGTAATTTGCTTTTAAAGTATTTTTGCAGTTTTAGCCATCTTCATTTATCAATTGTGCTCCCTTCGCAGTGCCCTCTGAAAGCATTGATGTAATTTGGAACACAGCCGTGGCTCATGATGAAAGCTATAGGTGACCTATTATTTAAAGGCGGAATTTATTCTTTTATTAAGGATTAAGTTACGTCTTCAACACTTGTGAAAACAAAAAACATAGCATACGTTAATGCTTTTAATTTTTAGTATGTTATTTATTAAGTATATGTACTGAATATGACATGGGCCTGTTGATTAGAACATTTCTGCAGTGGTTTGCATGGGTCAAATTGTAAAAGTACACTTAAAATAAATAAATAAATAATATCCTACTTAATAATAAGCATCATCATTAATATTATTAATATTATTATTTAAAGTATTCTTTCATTTCCTAATAAATAATAAATATTAAATTTAAATTCTTAATAAATAGCCTCGTTAATGTATTTATTTATATGATTTACATATGATAATAGAATACATGTTGGCTTCTGTAAGTGATTTTATGTTTTATTTATGTTTATAATTAACATGGTTCAAACGATGGACCTGTGACAGGAAAAACTACTGGCTTTTGGAAACACTCTTCACCACATCGTTCTTTTCCCAAAAGATGAATTGTACTATGATAGTTCAGCCGCGAATTACATCGTTGTTTGGGAAACGCACCCCTGATTGGTTTTGTAATTAAGCAGATTTTTTTTGTTGTTTTGTTCAGCAGTATTGTAATCCCGAAGCTTTGTGACCTCATTGTTGGTCTGTATGTGAAGGCAGTGGTTCATATAGCTGTGCTGGTGTCAGCTCGGGCCATAACGCAGTAGATGAGGGGTGATGCTGGATCTCTTCATTTGCCGAGCTCTGCAGGCATTGCTGGCCCATCATAGGATTATTGTTCAATCAGGATTTGACGTTTCCTGACAGTGCTACATGATTTTGCCCTGCTGCATTAGATCTGTATTAGTTTCACTGGCCCGCCTCTTGGGGCCCACCTCTTGGAATCAAGCAAAGACCTTCAGCTCAGTGCCAGCTGGCCAGGCCTTTGAAAGACTTACAGACCACCTTGAGCACTGGCATATTCAGGTAAGTGTGTCCATGGCATCATGTGTTCCCATTTGAAGGGATTTCATTGTGTTCATTATCATCAGGGACAGATTTTTTTTTGTTGTATGTGTTTGCTTGTGACGTCACGAGGGAGAAGAGTGGATTTAAGCTGGCTTTATTTGGTCTGTAATCCCTCATAGCAATCTGAACGAGTAAAATGTTCCGAGTTGGAGAGGATCAGCCTCGCTGGATTATCACAAGCCCCTGCCTCCCCCACGCCATCCCTCCCCTTGTTAAAATTTTCCTTCCTGTCTCTGTTTTCTCTCTTTTTCTTTCCCCTCCATCTATTCACGCTTGTCGCTTTGCATTGCCACAATGGAGTAGTCAGGCAGGCTTCACCTACCTACCAGCGTTATTTGTGAGAGTGCATGGTGTCCTCTTTCCTGCTTCCATCACCACCAGCAGTATTCCCCAGATTAATTATTCAGCGATCACCAAGCGAGAGGAGCCATTTGATAGCCAGACCTTTCCACTGTGATAGAGACGGGACACAGAAATTACTACTGGACCTCAGGTGAAAAGCAATATCTTCTGTTTTGTATATCTTTTTTCGTTCACCCTCCTTCCTTACACCACTTGACATCAGCCTGCATCTAGAAATTTAAAGGAAAACATCTCTCACTTTTCTTCCCTGTGAGTAAGGTATATCTTTTCCTCATGTTGATCTCCAGTAAGCAGTTGCCGATCGGCCGATCCCAGAGCTGGGACACGCTGGGTGGGAATGAGGGTCATTGGGAGCGCAGTGACAGTGTTTACGAGCAGCAGGCCCGGATGGCTGGTCGACGCAACTCGCTGAGCTACGGAGCGGATGCAGGAGGGGGATGGTATGAACCAGCGCCTGGAGTGCGTCCTCCTGACCTCGATTTGAAACGGGAGCCAGAAGCCTACCAGGAATCTCTTTATAACCAAGGCTATTTGGATCGCCCGGACCCCCGTAACATAAGAAAGAGCTCCGTTCCTGAGTTGAACAGCCATTATGACCGACCACCAATAGCTCATCGTGGGACCATGCCACCCCATGACTATTATCAGCAAGACCCAGGCATGCCATCCCGGCCAACAGAGGGTTTCTATCGTGGCGAACAGCCTCATTCTCTGAATAGGTCATCTTCACATTATGGGATGATGGCAGGTCCTCGTCAGATTTGGGAGCAGGGCTCAGGAGGTCGTCCTGGTTCTGTTGCCCCAACACCTGGTGTACCTCCTCCCCCACCTCCAACTGTTCATGACATGGGTCGTATTTACCGAGACCCGATGCTGTCTGGACCCCTACCTGCAACTCCTGGCACCAAAATGATGCATGAAGGACAGCGCATTCCAAGCAGAGCGCAATCTCCGGCTCGTTATATAATGGAGCCAAATTCTCCCCGTTACGCCGCTGAGCCTCCTGCCTCACTCACTAGCCATACAGTCTACAGTGATGTTAACGGAAGGCCAATTGATCCTCATCAGCCAACGGCCACATGCCTGGTGGTTGATCCAGTTGCTCAAGGAATGGATGGAACTTCCCGAGGTATGGTCATGCATCCGGAAAACCCCTCACCATACACCATACAGCAGCAACAGCAAGCCCAACAGCAGCAACAAATGCAACAGCAAATACAACAGCAACAAATGCAGCAGGTTCAGCCAGTGCAACAAATGCAGCAGGTTCAGCCAGTGCAACAAATGCAGCAGGTTCAGCCAGTGCAACAAATGCAGCAAGCTCAGCCAGTGCAACAAATGCAGCAAGCTCAGCCAGTGCAACAGATGCAACCAGTTCAGCCAGTGCAGCAAATGCAACCAGTACAGCAAGTTCAGCAGGTACCACAAGTTCAGCCAGTGCAGCAAGTTCCACATGTGCAACCTGTGGCATCCCCAAATCCTATCTACACACCAGTTCCCCCTGTTGCCCCTGCCCCAGTTACCACTCCAGGTGTGGCCGTTATTCCTGCTCCATTACCTCAGCTTCCTGCTCAGCCTCTCACTGCTGCTCCTCCTCCTTCTGTCCCTCAGACCCCAGTGGCTCCTGTAGACCCTAAAAAAAATGCAGACCCTGAGTTTCTGGCATTGTTGCATAAAGAGGGCCTCTCGGAAAGCACCATCAATTCTCTACTGCAGCAGGGCTTTGACTCCACTGCAATGTTGGCCGTTATGGAGGAAAATGATGTGCGTTCAGTTGCCCCCAACTTGGGCCAAGCCAGGGTTCTCTCTCGTGTTGTGCTTTGCTGCAAACGACCACCTGAAATTGTACCTGCTACCCCCCTGCATCCCAGCGCTCCAGCCCGCGGCAGATCCAACAGCTTCAGCCATCGCAGTGACATCTACGTGCACCAGCCACCACCCTTGACTCCAGGCTTGGAGTCGCAGTATATCCAGCCACCCTCTACCCCCATGCAGACTATGTCTCCGAGAATTGGTGATGGCTACAGTCGCAGACCCAGCAGTGCTCCCTCCCAGCAGCTTCTTGAGACCAGTGGGTATCCTGGACCCAGGGTTTCCGGGGTATACAGTGGTGCTATGGTTCCTGTCCAACCTCGACCATTGTCAGGTTACAATCCACATTCTGGATTACCTGTGACTGCAATGTCCCAACAGGTTGCCATTCCAGCACATTTACCAGGAATACAACAACAAATGGCAGCTTTGCCACCCCAAATTCATGCAATGCCATTGCCAGCTCTATCTGCAGTTCCCCAGTCAATGACTGTACCTGCTTTGGCACCCCAGCAAGCCCCGAAAGCATACACCACCAACTATACCGTACCAATGGAGTTAATGAAGAGGGATCGAAGCTTGGCTACAATGTCACCCATGCCCAGTCCCCATTTAAGCCCACAAGTAATGCGCAAAGCTGGAGTGTCCTCAGATGGAGCCCTAGTACCCATTGGAGGTGCCGTTCCAGGCCAAAATATGAACCTGGCTAATCAGAAGCTGAGCCGGCGTACTGGACCTCCGGTCATTGTCTCCACTATGGCATCACCAGACACAAGTAAATCAAAGCCCTCTTGCATTACCTTCTTCGTGCTCTCCTTTTTCTCCTTCCCACCCCCTCCAGTGCTTCAGTTCCTAACTCTCTGTGTCAGAGCGAGCATGTGTGAATTGAGGTTAATTGATTCAAGTTATATTCTTTCTCTTTGAACTCCGCTTTTTCAGAAGTGCTACACAGAGAAACCTCCTTTGAAGAATAAACAATGCTGTTTGTTTTTCGCTGAAATCGTAATGAATTGAGTTGGTAATGATGTTCCTAAACATCTAGTACTGCGATATCATCCCTCTGTCTCATGTTGAACAAGGCTGAACATATTTTATTTACTCCCTCAGATCAAAGGAACTGCTTTCGCTTTGTTTTGTGCCAGATCAGGTGCAGCTTTCATTGCAAAAAGAGTTAGACAGAATGGAAATTCTGGCATATAAATACATATAGTCATTCATCGTCATCTTTTAAACCACAGAATTACACACCACCAAAGATTGTACTTTTGCATGTCTGGCACAGATGCTCATTTAAGAGTACATTTCCTTTATTTTGTGATGAGTGGTGTAATAAACTGTGCTAGAATGTCCAAATGTGTTTTCTTTTTGTCTTGTGGTTCACTGGCCTGCACTCCGTCACATTTCTGCAGAATTAGTCATTATCTGCTTCAGGGTGTTGGTGACTGCTAGATTGTACTCAGTACTACACTGCGTTATGTCATGTGTGTTTTGCATTAGGTGTATCTCAATGTATTTAGAGTGGCATGCTGTGTTTTTTTATTTTCACAGTTTGTCTTTGCTAGTTTGAACCTCTGTCACTATCTGCCTGTCGCAGCTGATCTGTTTGACTGAGATACTGTGAGTGAAGTGTAGGCTGTCAGTTAGCGGTAGAGCCCCTTGATGCATGTTTGATGTGAGATGTCACTTTGAGCCTTATACAGGCAAGATCAGAATGATAGACTGGACTGTTACAGGGAGAGAGTGACAGTTCCCGCTTTTTGCCAGCCACAAACTTCAATGGCAAATGTTACATTTGTGGAATAATAACTGAGAATGTCGTTGATTCATATACTGTTGAGTGACATTATTAACATTGCAATTTATTTTTATATTTTACCTTCAAAGCTTAATTCTGAAACACTTTACACTTAAGAAATACAAGCATAGCAGAGAAATCTATTATGCAGAGGTTAAATGTTATGTATATATAAAATAAAACAAGTCAGAAACATATAAACTGATCAATTATTAATAGAAAATGTAAAAATGTGAATATAAAACTAATAAAAAAAATCACCTCACAAATAGGCGATAAAATAAAGAAGTGACTCTTCAGGGATACTTTAAATTCTTTAAAAGACTATCCATGCCTAATATAATAAAGGAGTGAATTTGAGCTAAATTATTATTATTATTATTATTATTATTATAAAATGCAAAAATGTCTTCTCATTATTATAATGTGAAATAAAATTAATTCAAAAGACAATATACATAAAAGTACTGTTTGTCAAGCTTTAAAAAAAAACAAAATAATACAGTAATTGATAACCCTTAAAAATAATTTTCCTATAGTTAAGGTTAGTTATTGTATAATGTAACTGTATCATATTAGGAGAGATAACGATGTATATATATATGTGTGTGTGTGTGTGTGTGTGTGTGTGTGTGTGTGTGTGTGTGTGTGTGTGTGTGTGTGTGTGTATTTATACGCACACAAATTCACAAATAACATTAAAGTAATTTTTTTATGACATTTATGTTTCACCTGTAATTGGACATTTTAGGACATTTAACAATATATATAATAGGACAATTTACCTTTTTAACATCAAATTACAGAATCTAAATAACCCCTAATAATGATCAGTATTTGAAAGTGTTCATGGCTATTTGCATTATTGTGCTGTTATATAATCAGTGGCAAAAAATTATCTCAAAATGACAATAATATTGCAATTTCTGTGACAAATTATCACACAACAAAACTTCCTTATCGTGACAGGCCTAATGTTAACAAGCACAATATTGGATTTTAATAATGCACTAGAATTGTACATTTCCTAAAGGAAATGTGAATGGGGTTTGCGTGGCAAATCGATGGGGTACAATGTATTTGTTTTGGTTGCTAGGGTGTTCTGAATGGTTGCTAAGGTGTTCTGAGTGGTTGCTAGGTGGTTGCTAAGGTGTTCTAAGCGATTGCTAAGGCGTTGCTAGGCGGTTGCTAGGGTGTCCTAAGTGGTTGCTAGGTGGTTGCTAAGGTGTTGCTAGGCGGTTGCTAGGGTGTCCTGAGTGGTTGCTAGGTGGTTGCTAAGGTGTTGCTAGGCGGTTGCTAAGGTGTCCTAAGTGGTTGCTAGGTGGTTGCTAAGGTGTTGCTAGGTGGTTGCTAGGGTATTCTAAGTGGTTGCTAAGGCGTTGCTAGGCAGTTGCTAGGGTGTCCTGAGTGGTTGATAGGTGGTTGCTAAGGTGTTGCTAGGCAGTTGCTAAGGTGTCCTAGGTGGTTGCTAAGGTGTTGCTAGGGTATTCTAAGTGGTTGCTAGGCGGTTGCTAGGGTGTCCTGAGTGGTTGCTAAGGTGTTGCTAGGTGGTTGCTAGGGTGTCCTGAGTGGTTGCTAGGTGGTTGCTAAGGTGTTGCTAGGTGGTTGCTAGGGTGTTCTGAGTGGTTGCTAGGCGGTTGCTAGGCGGTTGCTAGGGTGTTCTGAGTGGTTGCTAGGTGGTTGCTAAGGTGTTGCTAGGCGGTTGCTAGGGTGTCCTAAGTGGTTGCTAGGTGGTTGCTAAGGTGTTGCTTGGTGGTTGCTAGGGTATTCTGAGTGGTTGCTAAGGCGTTGCTAGGCGGTTGCTAGGGTGTCCTGAGTGGTCGCTAGGCCCTTACTAAGACGTTACTAGGCGGTTGCTAGGTGGTTGCTAGGCAGTTGCTAGGGTAATTTGGGTGGTTGCTAGGCAGTTGCTAGGGTACCCTGGGTGGTTACTAGGCAAGCCTAACATACATGCCTGTTGAAATAATTACACTTAGTAAGCATTTCTAGCAAGTTACAGTATTTGGCTAGTCAATTTTAGCATGTAGCTAGTCACTGCTAGCATGTGTAGCATATAGGAAGTTCCGTTTGCTAGCATGAGTTAAACGAGCCAATCACCAAGTCTCTACGATGTTCCGATCTTGAGATATAGCTGTTGATGATTGGTTGCTAGGGTACTCTGTTTTGTTGCTATGGGCGAGGTTACAGAGTGAACTTGAATGTGGTTAGCTGTCTAAGTCAAATAAACCAACCCCCATGTCTCTATGACACTGCTATGTAAAGATATGCATCTAGGCCAGTTATAATGACGGTCTATGGGACCAGTTTGGGGGCGTGGCTTGTGAGCTTCATTATCATATTGAGATGCTCATTGGTTATCTGAGTCAGATGAGCCAACCCCCAAGTCAGTTGGACACTGCTATGCAAAGATATGCATGTAGACCAGTTATAATGGCAGTCTATGGGACCAGTTTGGGGGCGTGGCTTGTGAGCTTTATTATCATATTGAAAAGCTCATTGGTTGTCTGAGTCCAATGAGCCCACCCCCATGTCTCTATGACACTCCTATGTAATGTTATAGATGTGTGACCTTTATAATGGAAGTCAATGGGATGTGCAGTGGGACATCCCACCCCATGTTAAGTCAATGGGGCAGTTATTAAGGGTCTTCAAATGGTTTGGGGGGGCGTGGCTTGTGAGCTTCAAAATCATATTGAGATGCTGATTGGTTGCCTCAGTCAAGTAAGGCAACCCCCACACTGCTATGTAATGTGATTGACATGTGAGTCAAGAAATGAATGGGAGTCAATGGGCCATGTAAAGTCAATGGGGACCCCTTTGGGACATCCTAGCACCCCATGGGTACAACTTATACCCCTTTTTGGGGTATGTTCTCATACAGGCTGCAACCCCCTACAGATGTTGCGAATCCCATATTTCTACGAATTTCACACTTGGCGCTACAACGCTTTAAAGGTCGTCCCATTTCGCGGCGCGTTTAGTGCTCTTCTAGAAAAATGAATGGGAGTCAATGGGGCCAATGTAAGTCAATGGGAGAACTTTGGGACGTCCTAGAGCCCCAGAGGTGCAACGTATACCCCCTTGCGAGGTATGTTCTCACTTAGGCTGCAACCCCCTACAGATGCTGTGAATCCCATAATTCTATGAAATTCACACTCGGCGCTGTGATTCGTCAAAGTTCGGCTCAATGTTAAGTCTATGGGATTTTTGGGCAGGTTTTTTGGCCCCTGCGGGGCCAAAAAACCCCCCACCGCTTATAAAAGTCATAGCACACCATTCCCGATAGAACCGGACAGTTTGACACCACTTTCAAGGGTCTGGGGCGAAAGCTGCGGGACAAGTTACGCGCCGAACTTTTGGCAGAATTAAGAATAATAAACCACAATAGTAAGAATGGACTTTGCCTATGGCAAACCCCATTAATTAGCAAATTATGAACTGATTATGATTATGAACTGATGAATGATTAAATAAATGCTGTACAAGTGTTACAATAACTAATGCAATCTTATTATAAAGTGTGACCATTTAATTCAATCAAAAGCACATTTGAGTTTAACTAAAAGTCCAAATGCATTTGCTAAATTTTAGAGTGCATTAGCAAGACAAATTGTTTACGATGCATCTGACATGTTTATGCATAATTGTGATTTTTTTTTTTTTTTTTTTTGGATGCTACACAAATTGTGTTGCATTTCTGTATTTAATTCCTCTCAGTGCAGCCGCTGTAAAAGACTGTTTCCAGCTCACAATGGCTGATGTAAAACGATGACCAATGACTGCTCTGAGGGGGGAGGTGCAGCAGTGCAGAGAGTTTTAGAGCCGAAATGGAGATGCAGTGTCAAACCCCGGCAGGAAATTAAACAACACATCACCATAGTCAGGCTAATCACATTGTGGTGATAGTAATCAGAGTCTATGGATATGATTGGAGAGCCTCTGGGGTGGGAGAGAAATGAGAGAGCGGTGATGAACATTAT